TGACGAGTTTAATTTTTCTAAGGTGTCAGGTTATGATGTCAAATCAAGCGGCTCTATGATTGTAGTCCTTTAAATTTTTTATGAGAGGCATGTTGAAGTTGTACAGTGTATGGACAACAGTAGATTATGCAGTGAAAAAGAACAGTACAACATGCGTCTAAATAAAAGGTAAAAAGTACAGCAGGAAAGTGACTGCAAGAAAGTAACATGCTGTAAACACAAAGCAAACTTGTATACCTGAGAGATCTGTTGTTTCTTAGGTGTAGTTGATGCAACAGGTACAAATAGAACAGACTGAAATGCATCATATAAATGAAAGCAAAAGAAGAAAAGAAACGTCACCCAGAAAACTCGAGAAAGAACAGTAAATGACCCACGATGGAAAATTCGGGAAAAATCAACGAATAATCCATGACGAAAAGCTCGAGAAAATTGACGACTAACAATTCAAATAAAATCCTCAAAATCTCAGGAAAATCTCGGAGAAAAGACCACGAGTGCTTTGTCCAAAAATTTTGATAAAAATAAAACATATGACTGAAAAGAGGGGACCACAAGCACTCGGGTAGGGCTAGACTCAGATATATATTTGTACTCGAGGGTCGTCGAAGGCTACTCGGTCACCCGGATGTATAAAGTTCGTCACTCGACTAGAAGGGTGTTCTACTGAACCTAACTTAGGAGGGTACTCCTTGGCCCAAACAGGTAATCAACAGGTGAACAACCAATTTTTTAAATGTATTTAAAATTTATATTTTTAGCATGCACATAGGTTTCAAGCATACAAAAGTGAGTTGTATCAATTTTGTTTGTAGTAAAAAAAAATATTTTTGTTTGAAAAATGTGTATCCGTTCTTATCAAATTTTTTTTATTAGTTTTGAAAAAGTGTATTTGTCCACGAGTCGATCACACTGTCGGGCGTAGGGCTACCAACAACTTAAGAAGATACGGGTCAACTCCCGCTAGTCTTATGTCAGTGAATGATATTACATCCTACGGTTCACCGGGTCCGTGTGGGTGTCCTGATGTTGTAGGATGGATTGTAGGATGGAATATCATTCTGCTCTACCACCGGTGTGCCTTTGTCATCACCGCCCTAAGCCCCAAAACAAAACTGATCTACTTGCGACATTGTTTGATGGTTTCACTTATAGCAAAAGACTATACGTGGACACTTATATATCAGACATAAGCATCAAAAATCGAACCAAGAGGCAAGGAAAAAAGAACAAAAGTGGGGTGAGAGAGAGGAGGCACCGATCCACCTAAAACACCAAAAAGACGGAGGATGAATCAGTCCTCAAAACACGTAACGAAAAGACCTGAGAAGGTAGGGCCCAAGGTCCTTGAATCAATTCGAAAGAATGTCATTTTCTCGCTTCGTTAGAATTGGATCAACCCAAGAAGGGTGTCCTTTCCAAATCCTGTCTCGAACGAGTCAAAACCGACCCGAACCGACACGACGATCACCCACAAATGACTTCCTCGATATGGGTGTCTAACCTCTAAAAATATCTTCCATGGGCTCAATTTAATTCAACCAAATGCTCTCCCAAATAGGACTTGAGAATCCTCCAAATTCCATGAATTGATCAAAAGGTGTCCAAACATTTTTGTTGCGGGTGTCCAAACATCTTGCAATGCTTGCAGTAATAAGGTTTTTGTTCCATAATGATTTTTTGTCAATAACCATTGTGAGCAGAGTCAAATCAGACTTCTTCAACATCTGGTAGTGTAATATCCCTTTCAATCAAAATTTTTGTAGTAGAGAGCCTTGAGAAATGAATAGTAGGTATGCCTTCCTACAAAGGTTTTCTAAGGATAGTCTCAATTGCATATAAGATAGATAGGTCATAGAATTGAAGCTTGAGTTTAGGTAATAAAAACCAAATAGGCGCGATTGGGGGTTCTTGACGCGGATCAAAAACAGGGGTCCATTTGAGCAATTTTATATGATTGCCCTCGATTGTGATGAATTTCTTTGAGAAAATTTTTGTGTAATCTTTTTCTATGCTCAGTTATATTATAACTTGTCTTCCATCGAAAATCTTAGCTGTATCCTAACATGTCTTCCGTCGAAAACACTCACACGCCAATCTCCAACTAGTTTGAAATCTTCAAAAACCTTCTTGATAATCTCCATCTTAGGGCGACCAAATTGGAACTTTCCAATTAGTGTAAATTTGTATTTTCCTGTACGAGTAAAAATTTCAACGTCAGAGAAGAATATTGTTGGTTTGCTCACATTTTTCTCTACTTTTTTTATGAGATTGCAATTTATATGTCCTGCAACAGAAGCATGGTACATCTGCCGGAATATCGGACTATCTGCGAGGTGGAAAGGGGAGCTCTATTTGTGAACCACTGTAGGATTGGAGGGTTTGGAGGGGGTGATACGTGCGTAAATGCTAAGGATACTACTTATCAATTAATGGCATGCATATTGAATATGCAACAGTAAACATCATGACAAGGTTAAACAGTATGAATCTATAATGTATAATCCTTTCAATTATTTATATGCGAAAATCAACACAAATATATAAGGAATGAATTATCAGGACAGGTTTTAATAACTGAAATATGGATATATGAGTATAGCATATAGATGAAAGAAATAAATGTCACAGGAAATAACTCTAATAAGAAAAGCGTTGTGGAACACTCGATCCGTGCTTCTTTGAGATGCACAACAATATATTGGTTTAGACAGAAAAACCCTCTAAATAATAAGCCAGTAACATGCATTTATAGGTATATTTAGGGCGTGTTTGGCATCCCTTTTGGTTAGTATAATTTTTATATTTTTTTTTTTTTTTTTTTTTTTTTTTTTTAAGACAAATCGTTTTTTTTAAGACAAATCACCTTGTTTTTAAAAACACTCGAAACACCTATTATGTATTTTTTTAATTGTAGTTGAAAACAACTACCATAATTAAACGCATTTAATTTAAATCAAAACATAAGCAAAGTAAAATAAAAGCAATCCCCCTTAGGCCTTAGCTTAGATGTTTTTTGGTTTACTTACATTAGCTATGAAATGTTATGTTATTAAATGTTCAGGTATTTGGTTCACTAACATCTTTAAGTAACCATTTTATAAATGGTATTCATGTTGTCTTTAATGATATTTAGATATAGATCAAATCTGTAAACATGTCCTGTTTGATTTTTTGACAACAAAAATAAAGAGAACAAAAATAAGAAAAAATTTAACATTGATTTCTTAAAGTTAATATTATTTTAAGTAAAATAATATTGAATCAAACAAACTATACCATCTTCTAGAGAAGGACTGTTTTCTAAGAGAAATTGATTATAGAACTCCTAAATTAATGTATCAAATAAATTTGGTGATAATTTGTCAAAATGCATGGAAAATATAAACTAAATTTATTGCATGATGAACTTTATAATTTTAATACACATTATCTCAACAACAATGATCCTTTATCCGACAGTGACTCGTTTAATACAATTTCCCTAAAATTTAAAAAAAAAACTATGGATAAAAGTCCCAAAGTGGAATAGCTTAGGTTAAGTACGAATTTCAATTTTATATGCTATATTACCTTAATTTTATTATGTAACGGTTCAACGACACAACTATTCTTTAATTTAACTAAATTAATCAATAATTACATTATACGCAATTATTTGATGAAAAATTTGTATATCACCCAATAAAAAAATACTAACAATAAAAATTATCATGGTTGTATGGCTTGGTAGTGAAATATGCATAATGAGGTTGCGGCTTCGCTTTCATTGTGTCTTGTGCAACCAATGTATGGAGCTCCTACTACTAATGCTAGGTGTGGGAATGGGGCAATGCATTTAGCCTTACCTTTACATTTGTTGAGAATTAATTTTTTTTAATTTAATACCTCTAGATTATGCTACGATCAACATGACTATTGCTCGAGGCAACATAAGAAGAGCAAAATATTTCCTCGATTGTAAGGGTGGAGAAGTCCTTATATTCATAGCTACAAATCATTTTATGGGAGAAATTTTCATACTTTGTGCATAGCTACACAAGGGTTTATCTTAATCCTGGGATGGTGAGGGTTATTCCTAGTCACTTCTTAGTTCCACTGGTTGTGACGGTGGTTTTGACTTCTCTTGTCAGGTGAGGAGTGAGTGAGGTTGTGATGGAAACCCTAATCATGTTTCAAAGAAATACTGCATTTGGAACCCAAATTCTTCGAAAATGAAGAAGGCAGCAATGTGTTGAGCGAAAAATGTAGGGCTACATTAATGTGAACAAAGGAAGATGAGAAGAAAATAAGAAAGCGGAAAATGTTAGGCTTTGGTTCTTCCCCCTTTTCTAATTTAAGCATAAAAGCAGCCTTCTCCAGTGATTGTGAAAATGTTGCCAACGATGCGTGGAAAATGCATGAAATTATTTACTCTTTATTTTGTTCCCTGGTTAGTACAACATATATTTATTTATTGAAAAAGGAGCTTTAGATAATGTTTTAAGGTAGGAGATTATATGTTGGTTTCATTTTAAATATGGGGCATTTACATACAAAAAACACAATTCTAATGTATTTACATGCCTAACACCTAAATTTTAATATTTATACACATAGCACTCAAATCTTTAATATCAAATAAAAATAGCACTATTACTATTTTTTTAAAAGTGATGCACCTTTTCATGCATAGTTTAAAGCACCAAACTTTTATGCATGTAAATATGAAAGTTCAGGTGTGAGATATGTAAATACATAAGAATTTTGTGCTAGGTATGTAAATTTCCCCTTAAAATATCCGGAAGTTTTCCTGCACTTGATTGTTTCTCCTTTTTTGTTTTTCCAACACACTCCTAATATATTGAAGAGACAAGTGTGCTTCACTCCTGTAAGTTACATTATTATTTCACACTCACTGTGCATCAAGGGGTTCAGTGTAATCATTCCATTTTGTTACTGCTGCAATTTTCTGCAAAAGCTTCTCCGGCTTCTGCTTATTGTAAACTTGACTGAAACAGGCAAACACTTACGAGGAACTCCCCGAGCGTCTCATCGGAGCTGTTCGTGTTTCACATTTAGAACTTTCTTCTGCTGTAGTTCCACAACTTGACCCCAACTCAGCTGAATGAGGAATTTAAATCGGTGATTTGGCAACCCAAGTTCCTAGAGCCTTTTTCTGTTTCATTAAATTTTCATAAAAGCGATCAAAAGCATGCAAGTTCGGCAAGGCTGCATCCTTCTGCTCCATTGTTGCTGCAGGGCTGGTTCTTCTTTGCTTGTTCTAAAGCAGAGGATCCATCGCTTATCTATACTGTTGACAGGTAAGCTGTTCAAATAAGCTGCTTCCAATTAATAGTATTTAATGCTTTGAATAATTCATTCTGTCTGATAACTCTGAGATGGGGAAATTAAAAGTTCTTAACCCTTTTTTTTTCCAACTCTGCCAAGTTTTGGAATCTGTCTTTTCTCAAACTGGCGACAATGATGTAAAATATTAAAAAAAAACTTATATGTTTGTACAAAAATGATATAAGTTGGATGAGGCTAATGTTGTTGATGAGTGCACGAGAAAGAGTGATTGTATTGTGATAGAAATCTGAAGTTTGGGTCATCAGCCTCATCCAGAACAATTTTTCTTAATTTCTTCTATTATTTGCGCGTGCTAATCTTTTTCATCTTGTTACAAGTTTATTACATGGTAAAAATATAATTTTGCTGATTTTATTTATGCCCAGTTTGAATCAGCTTTTTCCTCTGAAAGAGATTCGCATGAAGAAATGACCTTTGTTTTGAATTTGTTTTGAATTGCTATCTCGTGAATCTAATTTTGTCTGTGCAATCACTCCTAGCCGTCGCGTGAATCTATTTCGGCCGGCCTTTTAGGTTTAGAATGTTTGTTTTTTTTTAACGGAATGTTCGATTTTTAATGTGTGGTTACAAGCCTGTGGTCGATGCATGTATTGTTTTTTTTTATAAAAAAAAATGAAAATAATCTTGACCGTAGATCATCGTGATCTACGGTCAGGATCGGACACCGCATGCAGAGATGCATGCGGTGTCCGCACGCAATAATTCCTCCATGTATTGAGGGTTCTGGTCTGGAGGCACAGGCATGATTCCTTTGTAGTGTTGCTTTGTAGGGTAGCTAATGGCTTTAGGGTTGATGTGCGCATTCATGGAATCATGGTCATAGGGCATGTCTTTTTTATTTGCCTGATTTATCTTCAAATTTAAATTTTAAGTTTTTATAAATTATGTAATATATAACTTGTATTTATTTTAATTCAAATCAAACATAAAAAGACTTATATTTATTTTACTTTATGAAGTAATACAACAGAACAAATAAACTTCTAATATTTTATTTTTTTTCTTTCACAATATTTGAGAAGTAAATATTTAATTAATGCTGTTAGAAATAATGGCAAGCTAATATTTAAATCACAAAAACTTAAATTAATTGATATTTTTTTATTTAAATTTTATTAATTTAATGAGGCTAATAAATGATAGAAAATTTATTGGGATCAGAGTCGTCATCATCTTAGAACTGAGCAACTAATCAAACTGTATTTCAGTTTTATCATCTGAATTAACCGGATTCTCATGTATGTTTAGAGTTGGCTTAATAATTGGGTTTTACTTGTTGGTATGTTCATATTGTTTAAATGAATACTTCAACAAGAAAAAAAGAACTTCAAATTTAACTGAGCGTTTAGTTTTACATAAAAAAATTATTAATAAATAATTATACAAATATAATGAAATATGCAATCCAAAATATATTTTGAGCTAGTGTCTAATTAGTTTTTAAACTAGTCATAAAAAATTATATAAATTACTAAGTAAATTTTATTGTAATTAAATAATATAAATAAATACTACTAAATTAAGTCGTTGAAATATTTGTTAGTAAGCAAATATGATTATCGATATTAAATTATATTTTATTATTATTTTTTACATTAAACATTTGACTACACGAATCTTGAGAAAATTTAACTTATGTAGTATGAGGATATCGAATAATCGTTGATCATCACTTTACTCGGTCGGGTTATGGTCCGACCTAATGAATGTACATCCGAACCAAGGAATGACATTCACCTGAACCGACACCAAATCAACATATGTCGGGTCATTCACAGAGAAGATCAACAGTTGCTCAACAGAACTACCACTCAACCCCTTGTGAAGCTTCCTCATTTGAAGGAAAGTTGCCCATCAGGTTACAGTGATGCACTCTCTGTCTGATGGAATAAACCCTTCATGAGGATGAGGGGGTCTCTCCCAATGATTCCCTTCAGAGAAGCCAACAGAAGATCTATTTGTCGATGGAAGAACTCTAGCCAACCAAATGATGATTAAGTGACAAATCCAGACGGTTATGAGTATGAAACAATGTCAGTAGCAATTACAACTACAAAATTACACCAGCAGCGATTACCAGGGTTAGTTACAAATTTGTAAATGTGTAATGGCTTATAAATCACCTGTAACATTCTTATTAAGTGAGGTCATTTCTTCACTAGACTTCTCCTATAATCTATAAATAGGGAGTCATTTCTTCATGAAAGACAACTGAATCTATTCAAAGAGAATTAGTACTACTTGTTGCTTACTCTTTTATTCTCCCTCACTTTCCCTCTACATTCTCCCTCATTCCTCTCATCTGACAAACGCTTTATCCCTTAGGTGTGACCCGAAGAATATTTTTTAATTCAACATTCTAAAAGGTGTGATGAGCGTGGAGTCTTGCCTTCAACAAGAAGAGCTTGTCATGAAGAAAGAACACGCCTAGGAGAAACTTCTAATATGGAGCTCGTTAGAGAAATTGTACACCAACTAATTAAGGAGCTCTTGGATTGGATGGCAGGTCAGATTGCATAACTGATCCGCATGGTGCTTGAGGTGAGAGCACAGCCTCTCCCACAACCTAGTCCTCTAGCACCAGAGCCCCAAGGCCATCATATGGATCTATGAGTCAAATGGGTGGAAGAATCTCAGTACCAGAACAACGTTGGATCCATGGCAAGGAATAAATCGCAAACGGGGGAATGGAAGTGTACCGCCAATTGGAGGATGATTTCTCTCGGCAGATTATTGATAATGAACCCTCCGAGAGCTTCAAGGTTCTATCTTTGGATCCATAGAAGGGCCAAAGTAATATGATCGATCATATTGCATTGTTTTAGTCAGCTATATGGCTTCTTAAAGCATCTGACGCATTGAAGTGTCAACTATATTTCACCACACTAAGGGATTCAACCTTCAGGTGGTTTAGCAGACTCCCCATCAGAATCATTACTTCATTCAAAAAGTGTAAGAAGTTATTTATGGTACAGTTGCTTAGCAACCAAAAGCCCTACATGGATTTAAAATCCTTATGGCACGTCAAGCAAGGATCGAATGAGAGCCTCCGAGCGGTGTTCTCACCTTTGAAATTTAAACAATCCAAACAACCAAAAAAACAACTAAACCCTTTCAAAACAAAACAAACATCAAAGAAAAATGAATTTAATCAACATTTGACCAAAAAGTTCAAATTTAAAATACACTCTTTTGATCCCCAACGGAAACTCCTTAAATGACCCCAAATTTAAATTTAAGTCTAATTCTTTAATATGAAATCTAATTTAACTTCTTCGGTCTGTTCGAAGTATGTCACTTGGGCATTTGTGTTGGCTTGTTGAATGCTTCGGTCAACACCAATACATGCGGTGTTCCTATCTGGCACACCACACCTTTTAGGGGTCCATTTGTTGACCTCATTTTTCATGAGGTCAAATTCCTTTCTTTATGAACCTAGAATCTAGTCTTAGGACTTTCCTATGGAATATCTTAGAAGACTAGTAAAGGAAATACATACCCCACATAGAAATTCAAAACAATTCTTGACTCCTCTTATGAAGTCTCACTTAAGCGGTCACAAGCCCCCAAATGTCATTTTAGGATGGCTAAGAACAACATGTGAAGACTCAAGAATGAGTTACTATAGGTTCATACATGGCTTAGGATAACCTTGGGTGGCTTAGGTTTGGTCTCACACACACTTACACACACTCAAACGAATCAAATTCCCTAATATCACATACACTGGACCTACCTCCTTAACTCTTTGGGGAACTCACATGGGTGGTCACAAGCTTCTAGCCTTTGGTTAACATGGCTAAGACCAACATGTTGAGACTCAAGGAGGAGTTCTCATTTGGTGTCTTATAGTCCAAGACGGCTAGTCATGACATGCATGATCATTACCCATTTTTTCCCAAATTAACTAATTTCCTTAAATTTCCCAAATGTCCTCCAAATTCCCTAAAATACCAAATTTAACCCCATATTCAAGCCCTCCAAATTCCAATACCAAATTCAAATTCAATTTCACCAAACACGAAATTAAAACCCAAATTTTAATTTCAAACCCAAAAGCCACCAATTTTGAGCCAAATGTCCAAATTCATACCAAAATTCCACCAAGTTAAAAAATTCACCAAATTTGGCCTACAAACCAATTCAAATATACCAAACCCAAAATCAATTTTTCATGATAATTCCATAGCCCTTCAAGCCCATTGGCCAAGCCCAAGACCAATCTTCCTTAACCCGTCCTAAAAGCCCAAAGTTAACCCTTTCATATTTAATTTTAAAAGCCTGCCATTATTAAATTAAAAGCACATGAATTGAGCACAATTTCAATTAACATTGAAGCCCACATGTCAAAATTATTTTCATCATTCTTTTAATCAAAACCATGCACCATGGCCACACATCATACATCCATGCTTAACCCATCCAATTTTGGCTCCATGGCATTCTCTCACCCAATTTTCAAAGTCCAAAAATTCCCTTTTCATGAAAATTGCCCATGGCCTCACGCATGTCATGAAACCACTCATGGGGGGCATCCATAAGCATCACATGGCTCATGCACTCCAAAGTGGCAAAAGGAGGACCTTTTTTCACCTCCCACCAAAGTGAACTAACCAAAACCCTAATCCCACCAAATGCATGTTTCCCATGTCAAATCAATCATCTAAGCCCCTAGAAGTTGACACAACAACTCCAGCCACCTTGGACATGACCCCAAGCCATTTCCATGGGGTTGAACCCATGGTTAACCCAACCTAACCCAAACCCATTGCCCGCTTTGGAAAATTACAATTACCCATGTTTGGACCAAATTGACTTCACATCTCCTCA